TTATTACCTACATAAAGGAGTACCTCATTGATGTCGAACCCAAGCACCCACCATTTTAGTTTTTTTTTTCTCATAGAGTGGTTAAAGGTGCTACATTAAGTGGTGGCCCGTACGGGGATTGTAAAAAAATAAATAAAATAAAATAAAATATTTCTAATCTGACCCAGAGAAACGAAAAAAAAAAAATATATATATATATATTTTAAACTTGCTCAGTTTGCTTAACCTAACCTAACTAAGCACTAATCCTACAGAGAACTATAGTAAAGGTCATGGGGATGGCTCAGTTGAGGCACTGGTGTAAGGGCGAAGGTATTGACCCAGAGTATGCCATATTGGTTAAGAATGTCCCAGAAGAGGTAGAGGTGAATGCCATTGAAGAAACTTTGCAGTCAATCAAAGCACTTGGTCGGGTTAAGGTGAGAGGCAGGATGTATGATCCGCAGACTCAACGTTTAACTGTGCTGTGTGAGTGTAGGCAGAAAGTCAATGCAAAAGCCTGTCCACTGGATGTCTTGCCAGAGGGCTCAGATGAGCCATGGAGAATCTTTGGACCTTCTGAAGAGGAAAATGAACCACAGAACTCTGGAAATGGAGGTAACCCATTTGTTGACTCGGGTCAAGATTCCCCATTTAGAACATCCACCCCTGAAGCCATTATAAGAGCAGTTGGTGAAGTCCTTCAAATGACAAACCCTCGTTCAGGCAGTGAGGGTAGCTCTTACAGACGTTTACGCACTTTCTCTGGAGTGCAACCCACTCCTCCAGGGGAGGAGACATTGGAGAACTGGATTGAACAAGCCAGGCTTATGATAGAAGAGTCTGAGCGACCTGAGAGAGAAATGAAAATGAGAGTTATGGAAAGTGTGAAGGGTCCAGCTCTGGAAATATTGCAGGCCGTTCGGTTCAACAACCATGATGCAACAGCTATGGAGTACCTCGAAATATTGGAGAGCACGTTTGGCACGTCTGAAACTGGAGAAGACCTGTACTATTCAGACAGCTATGTCAGCAACCGAATGAGAAACTCTCTGAATTTCTGAGGCGCATGGAGCGAGTTCTCAATAAAGTTGTTAAAAAGGGTGGCCTGCAGTCGGCTACCGCCAACCAAGCACGTATTGACCAGCTCATTAAAGGTGGCACTCGATCAGATCTAATGATGTTAAATCTTCGATTGAGAGAACGCCGGCAAAATCCCCCTCCATTTCTACAGTTGTTGAATGAAATACGGCATGAAGAGGAACACGAAGCTTCCCGTCGTAGATTACAACCTCCCAAAGCTGTGTATGCTAAAAGTACCATTGCAGTGCCAGACAAAGAGGTGATAGATCTGAAGGCCGAAATACAAGGGCTCCGCACGCAAGTGAGTGAATTAACTATCTCATCATTCACGCCAAGCGCTGCTGCTGCAACTTCTGAGCAAACCGTCAACCCACCGAAAGTGACAGTAGAAGATAAAAGCATGCGAGCTTTGAGAGAAGAAGTTAGAGAGCTCCGAGAGCAAGTTTCTGTTCTGTCTCTTCGGCCCAGTTACAGCTCCACTACAATGTCACATCATGATGAAGTCAAGTCAAATTCAGTATCCCAAAGACCTTTCACACTAAGGGACCCGAGTGATTTTTTCTGCTACCGGTGTGGGGAGGATGGGCATTTTGCAACTAAATGCACAGCCCCAGAGAACTACCCTAAAGTAATCCAAAAGTTGATACAGGTGCAAAGAAAACAAAGAACAAACCAGAAACAAAACAGCAACACAAGAACAAAACCTACCAATGTGGATGTAAAGAGAAGCGCTATCATGGTAGAGACCAGTGGCTTACCAGAGGGACTAATTGGACCTCCGTCCCTTGCCGAAGTGAAAATCAATGGCAAGATTTGCACTGCTCTGATGGACAGTGGGTCCCAAATAACCATCATCTTTGACAGCTTTTACAAGGAACACTTGTCACATGTCCCACTTCACCCGGTTACTGGTTTATCCATATGGGGCCTCAGTGAGTCAAAGAGTGGTTACCCATACAAAGGATACATCCACATTGACCTGGAGCTCCCTAGGCAGTCCGAGGCTGAAAAAATCAAGTCGGTTCCTGTTCTGGCTTTAGTGTGTCCTGACCCACGTTGTTCTGAGACCGTACCAGTCTTGGTCGGCACAAATGTCAAAGGGTTTCAGCCTATCAACTTGAACCCAGAAGTGGAAGGCTCAGAGCAAGTCCACTCAGCCAGAGTCCAAGTGCAGGAACAAAGTTCTTTACCTGCCCATAAGCCACAGCTTGCAAAAGATATTAAAGACTTACCTGTGGCGGATGTAAAGTGGACAGGGCCAGGACCACTAATCATTCCTGCTGGCACAGAACACATTGCCATTTGTAAAGTCAAAGAGAATAGAACAGTAGGAGATAGCATACTAATAACTGAACGTGCTGCCTCACCTGCTCTTCCACCAAGTGTATTGGTCCAGCCCACGGTACTGTTCTCTAAGATGCTAGATAAGAACAGCTTTCTGGTGCTGCTGAGAAATGAGTCATTAAAGCAAACAGCTATTCCTTTGGGCACCATTATTGCTCACCTGTATGTAGTTGACATGGTGATGGATGCCCCAGGAAGGAAGGTCAATGCTGTTCCACCCATTGACCCTTCGTTGTTCCATTTTGGAGATAGCTCAATCAGCAGAGAATGGAAAGAACGACTACAGCACCAGCTGTCACAACATTCCAATGTGTTTTCCACTGATGAATGGGATGTAGGTTTGGCCAAGGGTGTGGAGCATCATATCCGTCTGACTGACAGTACACCTTTCCGGGAGCGTTCCCGCCGCATAGCTCCTGCCGATTTAGATGACCTCAGGCGCCATCTTCAAGGGCTGCTTGCAGCAGGCATCATAAAGGAATCAAGAAGCCCCTACGCTTCACCCATTGTCCTTGCCCGGAAAAAGAATGGTCAACTGCGGATGTGTGTCGACTATAGAACCTTGAATCGCAGAACCACCCCAGACCAGTACACTGTGCCCCGGATCAATGATGCCTTAGACTGTCTGACGGGCAGTAAGTGGTTTTCTGTTTTAGACCTCCGCAGCGGCTACTATCAGATCCCTATGGCTGAAGAGGACAAGGAAAAGACAGCCTTTATATGTCCTCTGGGGTTCTATCAGTTTGAACGCATGCCGCAGGGGATAACAGGGGCTCCTGCGACATTCCAAAGGCTGATGGAGAAAGCGGTAGGAGATATGCATCTGCTGGAGGTCATAGTGTACCTGGACGATCTGATTGTGTTTGGCAGAACCCTTGAAGAGCATGAAGAGAGGCTGCTTAAGGTCATAGCACGCATTGAGGAGGCTGGACTAAAGCTGTCCCTTGACAAGTGTCAGTTTTGTTGTTCACAAGTTACCTATGTTGGGCATATTGTCTCTGAGCATGGCATTGCTACTGACCCCAAAAAAGTGGAAGCTGTAACCCGGTGGAAGCAGCCAACCGATCTCTCCTCTCTGCAGTCGTTCCTTGGATTTTGTGGCTACTATCGGCGATTCATAAAGAACTATTCCATCATCGTCCGACCTCTTACGGAACTATGCAAAGGCTATCCCCCCACCCAAAAGAGAAGTAAATCTAGTCAGGGGACATGCAAAACCTACTACAAGGTTAATGAGCCTTTTGGCAGTCGATGGGATCAGTCGTGCAGTGAGGCCTTTCACCAGATCATTCACTGCCTCACAAATGCACCGGTACTGGCATTTGCCGACCCAACCAAACCCTATACCCTCCACATAGACGCCAGTTTGCATGGCCTGGGTGCAGTTCTGAATCAAGAATACCCTGAAGGATTGAGGCCTGTGGCTTTTGCTAGCCGGAAGCTGAGTGCATCTGAAAAAAACTATCCGGTACACCAGCTTGAGTTTTTGGCTCTAAAGTGGGCTGTAGTTGATAAATTCCATGACTATTTGTATGGAGCTCAGTTTAAAGTGCAAACGGATAACAATCCGTTGACCTATATTCTTACAACAGCCAGGCTCAATGCCACTGGTCATCGATGGCTCTCTGCCCTTTCAACCTACAATTTCACATTGCAGTATAGGTTAGGGGCTCACAACATTGACGCTGATGCGCTATCACGAAACCCCTTACCAGCAGAAGATAAAGACTGGCAAACTATGCCGCCTGAAAGTGTCAGAGCACTGTGTAAGCAGGTCAACTCACAGAAAGTTTGCGATGAGACAATCACAATAGCAGAGTCTCTAGGAGTCTCCCCTGATGGCATACCTGTCTGCTACGCTTATCCAGTTCACCTCGATCTGGGTTGCTTGATGCGACTTAGCCACAACGACATCATCCAAGCACAGGATGCAGACCCAACAATCGCTCCCATCAAGCGGTCACTTTGCCAGGGTATACCATTCTCATCAGGGGATAACACTATGGCTAATTTGCTAAACAGGGAGGCGAGTAGACTGGTCATCAAAGATGGTTTGCTCTACAGAAAAGTTAAGAGACCCTCCGAAATGGAAATGTATCAGATAGTGCTCCCTAAAGAACATGTCTCCATGGTGTTAAAATCACTCCATGATGAGTCTGGGCACCTGGGAGTGGAGAAAACTCTCGGACTCATCCGTGACAGGTTCTATTGGCCCAAGATGGGAGCTGAGGTTGAGCAATATGTAAGAAACTGCGGAAGATGCGTCACTCGTAAAGCACTTCCACAGCGAGCTGCTCCCTTAAAACAGATAACTAGTCAAGGCCCCCTTGACCTTGTGTGCATTGATTTTTTGTCACTTGAGTCGGACTCACAGGGGTTTTCCAACATCCTAGTAGTGACAGATCATTTTACGCGATATGCCCAAGCATTCCCAGCTAAGGACCAAACAGCTGCCACGGTGGCAAAGATCCTTTGTGAGCGTTACTTTGTCCATTATGGACTCCCAGTAAGAATACATTCGGACCAAGGGAGGGATTTTGAAAGCAGACTGATCCGAGATCTCTTGAAGATGCTTGGGATTCGTAAGTCAAGAACGTCTCCCTATCATCCGCAAGGAGACCCACAGCCCGAAAGATTCAACCGTACACTTTTGTCAATGCTCGGAACCCTTGATCCAAAGCAAAAGAACAAGTGGAGTCAAAAGATAAGTCAGTTGGTTCACGCCTACAACTGCACTCAAAATGAGGCAACAGGGTACTCGCCCTACTTGTTAATGTTTGGACGAGAGGCCCGGCTACCTATAGACATATGTTTCAGTGTGTCGGATGAAAGTCAAAAGTCTGTCTCCTATCATCAGTATGTCATCAAACTGAAAAAAGATCTCGAGAGAGCTTATGACTTGGCGACAGAGACAGCTGACAAGAATCATAAACGGAACAAAGCAGCCCACGATAAGCATGTGAAAGAACAAGTTCTGGAAAAAGGGGACAGAGTTCTACTGAAAAACTTTGGTGTTACAGGAAAACAAAAGCTGAAAGCCAAATGGAGGCCCATACCCTATTTTATTGTGGATAAGTTGCCCAACCTCCCCGTTTACAAGATTAAACCTGAACGAGGTGGGGGTGCAGAGAAGACGGTTCATCGGAATCATTTGTTGCCTATTGGATACCTTGTGAGACTTCCATTGGATGACAGTGGCACAGATCCACCAGAAAGATGCAGAACAAGAGCGCAACAAAAGGTGGGCGGACTCCTAAAGCCTTCCAACCATGAAGAGGAAATGTACTCAGAATCAGAGTACGAGGAAGTATTCTTACCCAAGCCACAGGGTGTCGATTTGGATGGACTACTGACTCATCCAGAGCTGTCCAACAGAATATCTGGGCTCACTATCAGTGAAAGTGATAAAACAAGATCAGTCCAGAATTTGAGAGAACTGGAGGCAGTTTCTAGTACCTATTCAGACGTTATTGCTATTCCTGATTCAACCCTTGATCCAGTGGAGGAAATAGACATCTATCCACCACAGATTCCTGCTAAAAGATCACAGAGAGTTGCCCGACCTGTAGTTCGGTTGAGCTACGATGAACTCGGAAAGCCTTCTGATCAGGCGGTTACAGTCTTCAGCCATGGAGCG